GATAAAAAAAACCTTTAAAATATATTTTCACATTGGTTATATTCTTTTGATTGCTAGGAAATGTTATTGAGGTTTTTTTGTCAATTAAAAATACGTATTACGTGAAAATTAGGACAAATCAAAATGTCTTATATTAAAGACCCAAGGGAGTATCTCTCACTGAGATGGTAGACTTTCTATCTGAGTAGTGCATGTGAAATTACAACCCCGAGTTTGACTATTTCCCATTACCTCCATTCCTATATATATGATGGAGTTAACTAACTTTACACAAACCAATAAAACTAACAAAAATTAGTTTTTTGTCTCAAAAATATTGTAAATTCTCCAAATTGTCCTTGATAACATGTATGATGTGGTTAAATTAATTTTGAATTGGTTAATTGTGAGGGTAAAGAGAGAAAAACAAACCATTAAATATTTTTTTGGAAATATAAAACTTCTTAAAAAAAGAATGGAAAAGGTATGTCTAATACCTCTTATAAATAGGAATAGAGGTAGTAATAGATTTTAGTTTTCTTGGGTTTTGGTTTTTAATGGAAAATTTCCATGAACCACACTTGTATTTAATTCAAGGTCAACTTTCGTAGGTGTAATCCCAAAAGAAATTGGAAATTTGTCAATGCTGCAGATAATAGACTTCAACACTAACGACCTTACAGGTATGTGAAACTTCTTTTAACAAAAGTAGCTTACATTTAAAAATTCATAAAATCAAAAATTAAAAATTAGTCTCTTAGTTGAAACTTAAATATCCTGAAGAACAACCATATATATATATATATATATATATATATATATATAATGTAAAGCAGTTTAAAAAAAGTGCCATATTTGTATGCAATTATTGATCACTAATAAAAATTCTCATTAAGCATATAATTATGGTTTCTCATTTCTCCATGATGCATACAATTTAATTATACTGAAATAGGCATGTCGGTGTCAATATGAACGTCCGAAATAATTTTGTTGCAGGAGGTATCCCTCAAGAAATCGGAAAGTTGCCAAATATTTACCAAATCAACTTTTCTTCCAACTGGTTGTTTGGTTCGATTCCAGTAGATATTTTTAACACCTCCAGTACCATAATCGATTTTGGAGAAAATAATATCTCCAGTACCCTTCCGTCGACAATGTGCTATATCCTATCTAATTTAATACGTCTTTATCTCATGGAGAATAATATTGGTGGAATTATACCCAACTGAGGCTTTGTTTGTTTCCTTTTTTTTATGGTATTTTCATATTAATATATTAATAATTGTCCCATCTCAGCATACTTTTTTATATTTTCAATACACCTTTTTACATTTCCAGTACAAAAAATACCTAAAAACGCATACTAAAAAAACGAAACAAACAAATCCTGAATCTCTTATAATGTGGCTTACTATTGCTATAATGTGGGTTTGTTTGCACATCATTTTCAAAGGTGGACTTACGCAAGTCTCTCTACATCCGCGTGCTGATTAAGGCGTCTTCCAATAATCCATGTGGATTTGACGCGTATTAACAGTTTCCACAAGGACAATATTGAACAATTCAAACTCCAGAAAGGGATACCATTTAGTTGACTCATTGACCCCCGACGGCCGGACGTACGACATTCACATTAAGAAATGATCACTAAAGGATATGGCTTAATTCTTCTAATGGTGATGAATTCTTGTCAGGCGACTCGAATCATTCGTGTTGAAGTCATTTACCTCATTTGTTCATGGTAGAACTTCATATGTACTGATATTTAGGGAGTATAAAAAGAACTGATCAGTATCAAGTTCCAGTTCCTTCTAAAATAAGCATTACGCAAAACAAGATGTCCAACATTTTTCCAAAGCCTTCAATATCACTTCTACTTCTTCTGTTGCCATGTTTTGTCTCGGTTTGTTTAGCCACAACCACAAGAAACCTCACCACTGATCAGCTCGCTCTTCTTGCGCTGAAATCCAGCATCACCGATTTAACTTCTCATCACATATTGGCAAAAAACTGGACAATGGTTTCCTCCGTATGTGACTGGATCGGAGTCACTTGTGAATTTCGACATCTCAGAGTCACCGCCTTAGATCTTTCCTACATGAACCTCTCCGGCACCATACCTCCCCATCTCGGGAATCTGTCGTTTCTAGGTTCTCTCAACATGAAAGGAAACCACTTCAACGGCGAACTACCGGAGGAGTTGTCTCGATTCCGTCGACTAAAAGTGCTTAATCTGGGCAACAATAGTCTCAGCGGACAATTCCCGCAGTGGATTAGTTCATTTGAAGGGCTTCAACATTTGGACTTGTGGAACAACAGCTTCACCGGCGTCATCCCGCAATCTATCTCTAACATGTCCAAGTTAACAACCTTAATTGCCGCACACAATTCCCTGCAGGGAAACATTCCGGCAGAGATCTTCAACATGTCTTCCCTAGAAAGAATTTCACTGGGTCAAAATAGCTTTTCAGCTGGTTTCCTGCCGGATGATATGTGCCGGCATTTTGCGAGGCTCAAATATCTTGGTTTAGGAGGCGCGGGGTTAAATGGTCAAATACCATCAAACATAGGCCAATGTTCTCAGCTTCAACAGCTCTACCTTTATTCAAACGCACTTACCGGAAAGATACCCAAAGAAATTGGAAATTTGGAGAGGCTTCAGGTGCTGTCTCTATGGAATAACCAATTGGAAGGTAATAAACATCTCTCCGCATATTATAATAAGAATATCAAAACATCCCATGGAGGGCATAATGAAAAATTGTAAATCACAACTCTTCTGGCCAGAGAAATAATAACTTCAATCACTCCCAAAACCCAAAAAAAAAAAAGAGGAAAACAGAAAGAGGAAAAAATAGTTGTTCAGTTCTCTGTAATTTCGACGTTTTCTCTACAATCTGGGAAACGAGTCTATGCATTACGACACTGTGTTTATAAGCTTTGTATTATGTACTCAAAATTTAGTTGGAAAATTTTTTCTCTAATTTTTAAGCACCAGTTCCTCCATCTTAATTTTTATTTCGAAATGTTTAATTTTAACTCTATTTTTGTATTCACGCAATCACGCCTGGCTTTTACCTAACAAGTTTTTCTTTCGGTTTCATTTCCCACTTTCATCGCATAGTTTCAAATTAATCTTTCCTTGGCCTACTTGTACTTTTAATTCACGGTCTTATTTTCGCAGGTCCAATCCCAAAAGAAATTGGAAATTTGTCGATGCTGCAAGTGGTGTACTTTGATACTAACAACCTCACAGGTATGTCACATCAAAGAAGTAAAAAAGCTATAAGTCCAATAATAAAAAACTTTCCCAAAGATCTCCGGCTACTTTGCACATCCAGGGATATATTGGCATGAGATAAAGGGCTAAGACATTAATAGTCTTACAATTTGTAGCTTTAAATGCATATAAAATAGTGTTATATATATTTAGTATGGGTATGTTGCAATGCCGACACATATTTCTTAAGGTCTATTTTTAAAAGTGTTTTCAAGATACTTTGATTGAATACCGGCATTCATAGTTCATGTTGAAAATGATAATGATTGTGCAGTAAAAAATATTATAAAGAAAAATAACAAGGAATGATTACAAACCATTCATTTTTTCTGGGGTTATGTATTTAAAGTTAGAAGATAGTTTACATGGTTGATAATTTGATGCATCATTTTTTGTAGTTTTATTTTTTTGTAATTTTTTCCCTCCATGTATCACTACAGTTATTCAAAAAAAAATATTAATTCAAAATGAGAAAATATGAAAAAGTAGCTTTGGCTTTGGGGGAGATTCATGTTTATAAGCTATACTTTTAGTCCGACCAAAATGAAAATATATTATCCATAGTGGGTTGTTTTTGTTTTACTGATGGATAAGTATTTGTAAACTATACATATAACCAAGATGAATGCAAAACCATTCTAACGAAGTATTTGGATGTAGGGGTTATACCGCTAGAGATGAGCAAGTTATTCAATGTTCAATTCATCCATTTTGGGGGCAACCAATTAACTGGTACGATTCCGGTAAATATCTTCAACATTTCATCCATATCAGGGCTGTTATTTCCCGCAAATAATCTGTCCGGCCATCTTCCATCAACAATGTGCTACACCCTACCTAATTTAGAAGTTCTTTTTCTTTCCACGAATAGTATTGGTGGAACTATACCTAAATCAATCTCAAATTGTTCAAAGCTTGAGGCTTTTGATGTTTCAGACAACGATTTCACCGGAAAAATTCCCGACTCCCTAGGAGATCTTAGATTCCTTGTCACTTTTGATCTCGCTGCCAACAATTTAATAAGTGATCCTTCCTCTCCTGTTCTAAACTTCATCACTTCATTGGCTAACTGCAATTATCTGCAAGCTATCGACCTGACCAGCAATCCACTTGATGGTGTTTTGCCTGATTCCGTTGGAAATCTTTCATCCAAACTTGAATACGTATACGCTGACCATTGCAAAATCAAAGGCGCCATCCCAAGTGGGATTGGAAATTTAAGCAGCTTAACCACGTTAGACCTTTTTAATAATCAATTGATTGGGCCATTGCCAAATTCAATTGAAAACTTGCAGAAACTTGAACAGATCTATCTTACTTGGAACAAAATTAGTGTTCCTCTACGGCTTTTTTGTGCTCTTCAGAACTTGGGGGCTCTGTATCTTGGAGGAAATCTTATTGCTGGAGGTGCAATTCCAGATTGCTTAGGGAATAATACTTCCTTGAGATATCTTCATCTTTATTTCACTGGATTAAAGTCTAGTCTGCCTATGAGTTTATGGAACCTTCAAAACCTATTGGAGCTCAACCTTAGTTCCAATTCGTTAACTGGATCTTTACCTGCTGAAATCAGTAACTTAAAAGGGGCAATTTCAATGGATTTCTCAAACAATTACTTCTCAGAAGACATTCCAAGTAGTATTGGAGATCTTGAGAATCTGCAGAGTCTTTCACTCGCACACAACCAATTGCAAGGACATATCCCTGAGGCAGTTGGGAAGATGTTGAGTTTGAATAGATTAGATCTATCATACAACAGTTTATCCGGTTTAATTCCAATTTCATTGGAAAACCTCCAATATCTTACGCTATTCAATGTCTCCTTTAACAATTTGAGTGGTGAAATTCCTTCAAAAGGCCCATTTAGAAACTTGACCGCTGAATCTTTCATTTCGAATCAAGCACTTTGTGGAGCTAAAAGATTTCACGTCTCACCTTGTCATATTCCTAAGACTCAGCATGGGCATAGAAGCGGAAACATGCATAAAATTGTAATCATTTCTGTTGTGGTGATAGTGGTTGTCGCTTTCACCTGTTTGGGGCTTATCTGCTTAAAGTATGGAAGAAGCAGTAAAACTCCAAATAATGAAAATGAAGGTTTTTCCATGATTAGCCGGAAGCAAATATCATACTTTGAACTCCTACGAGCAACAGAGAGATATGATCCGAGTAATATGTTGGGTTCTGGAAGTTTTGGATCAGTTTATAAAGGTACTCTTGATGATGGTTCCACTGTGGCTGTTAAAGTATTCAAGTTGCAGCTAGAAGGATCATTCAAGACTTTTGACACAGAATGTGAGGTATTGCGCAACCTGCGCCATCGAAACTTAATAAAGGTTATCAGCTGTTGTTCTAATCCAGAATTTAAGGCTTTGGTTCTGGAATACATGCCTAACGGAAGTCTTGATAGTTTGTTGCATTCAAGTAGTCATTTTCTCAATATCATGCAACGATTAACAATATTGATTGATGTAGCTTGTGCTCTACAATATCTTCACTCTGGTAATGTGACACCGATTGTGCATTGTGATTTGAAGCCTAGTAATGTCTTACTAGATCAAGAAATGGTTGCTCATGTGAGTGATTTTGGTATCTCAAAGTTATTAGGTTTGGATGACAGCGTTACATATACCAACACGCTAGCCACACTTTGCTACGTTGCCCCAGGTGAGGTTTCTAGCTCAAATTTTATGTTTAGGAAATTTAAAGTTTGGACTGATTAAATTACCCATTAATAATTTTCCCCTTATATATATATATAGAGTATGCTTCAGAAGGGTTAGTATCAACAAGATGTGATGTTTATAGCTTTGGGATTATGATGATGGAAGTCTTTACAAAGAAGAGTCCAAGTGATGAAATGTTCAGTGAAAATTTGACCCCAAAGACTTGGGTGCAAGAGTCTATGCCGAATAGACTATCTGATGTTATCGATGCTAATTTGCAGTCCACATTCGATCATCACTACCCTGAAATATTTGTTGGCATCGTATCAATCATGGATGTAGCTTTAACTTGTACAAATATGTCTCCACGAGAGAGATGCAATATAGATGATGTTGTTTCAAGTTTGAATAAGATCAAACTTCAACTTCTGCCATATACAGATGGCTCCTAGTGAAGGTGATACTTCTCTAAATGTATGTTTTTTCTAAGCAGAATGTAAGCTTCTTAATTAAATTTTGAGCTAGTAACTTTGGGTTTATTTTTCTACTCAGGAACCGAACATATCCCCGAGTTCCAAGTAACTGCTGATTGAACTACCGCACAAGTTTGGAACTCTTTAAAGTTACTGGATGCACGTCGCACGTGCTTTGGAACTCTTCACTGAAAAAGGTTTAAAATTTTTTTAAAAATCTACCGTCATGTAGGCAAATAAGCCACTCAATTGGTGTCTTTTACTTTGTCCGTCCCACAACAATCATCATGTTGGATTTTTTCTTTTTTTACTTTTAGTATAAGTAATTTTTAATAAAAATAAAAAAATATAATTCGACAATTATTTCTGAACGGAGGAAATAATTTTTTTTCCCATTTAAGTATTATTATCGGGTAATAACATTTTAAATGTAATTGTGACGTTGGTTATTCTTAGCACTGAGTATACCATGACTCATTTTTGTCGTTACAGTTGGTATTATAGTAACAAATTCTTGCAAAAGTAGCAAAAACCAAGAGAGTTGTTACTTTTATTAAGACCAAATTAGTAATGCAAAGTTGTGTAATATTGTTGTTGCCTCTGTCTCTCCTCCTCTCTATCTTATAGCTCTACCGTAACGCAACAGGTAAGGGGAAAAATGATTTATACAGATGATATATGATAATTTCTTCTGAAACCAAAATGATTATCCAGTTTAAATTGTTATTTTTAGTTTAAATTGTATTGAAAGGGAAAAATAAAATCTGGACAATAATTTTGAGACAGAGAGCATATCACAAAATCCTAATGTGTTTTCAAAGAAGAAACGTGGGAAATGAATGTTGCTCTTTAGCTCATGAAAACCATGTGCGCGTGAATTTTCATGTGATAATAAAATTAAATTTGGATCACTAGAATTGAAAAAGGAAGCAGAAACACACACACACACACACACACACAGATATATATATATATATATATATATATATATATATATATATATCCTGCACAGGGTTTAGTAAATTATAATATCCGCAGAAAGAAACCGACAACCATAACAATTTTGCAGAGAGAAAGGGGTTACAAAGTTCAGATCAAATTTCAACTCTCTCTGCTTTGGCAGAAGTGAATTTAATTGATCAAAGCTTTGATGATGATCATCTCACCAGAATGCATCTCGCAGGTGCTCCATCAATATTCACCTTCAAATGCAAACAATAAACTGTGTAGTACCCCGGCTCAATCCCATCAAGTTTCAAGAACTCCACAGGGATTACGTTGTTAGTAAGGAAGAGAAAGTGAACGTAATGAAGCACAGATTTAGCGCAGATCGAAACGGACATATAATCAAGACCTACAAAACTAATGTTAGTGTTCTCAACCAACCATTTTGCGCCCATTCCAGTGAATCCCGTATAATTAGAATGGAAGTAATCTTTATCTTCCGCGAGCCGCTTTTCGGTATTCACCGTCTTGAAAATAACTCGCTTCAATCCCTTCGGAAGATTCAACGATTGCAAATAGCGCGCTGTTATGTTGGTTTCCGGAGGGACCTCGACCACCAGAACCGGACCCATGAGAGTATTCAGGCTCAGAGAATCAGCCATAACTGTGGGGTCATCTTCGAATTCGGATAGGTGTCCGAGGGAATCAACATGGGTTCCCCAGTGAGTCCCCAAATAAATACTTGAATAATTGGTTTTTAAGACGAGTCGCATGGCATCTGGTATCGAAATATTAGCCCTCCATGTAGGTAACCCCGAACGGGATAATGGTTGAGTTATGTCGAAGATTTCGGGCCGGCATTCGTCGCAGAACTGGGATTTCGTGGCCGCGGTGGGCGCCATGTAACTGGCGGTGGCCGTGACAAAGAGGACGTCGATGACGAGGAGGAGGAGGAACCCGTGTGAGGTCGTCGATGATGACGTCATCATCTTGAAGAATATTGGGTGCCGGAGTTGATTCTCCGGGGAAATCAATTGGTGAAAGGGTTTGGGGAACAGGGGCTTATATTGTAATGAATAGGAATGATTAATAATAAAGAGGTGCTGAATCGACGGTGAATCCAAGGTGGCTTATTTCCGGTTCCAGTGAATAAGGAGAACCTCCCAATTTTTACTAATTTTCGTTTAAAAATTTGGAGTATAAAGAGACAGCTGAAAGATGGAGAGGTTTGTTCATTTTGCCAGGATGCAAATTAACGTTTTACGCTGTTTTTCCATTTCGGGTGTAACTTTTAGCTAGCTAGTGTTTTTGTTTTATTCTGGTTTTTATTTGTTAAAAATAAATACAAAATTTTGTGGTGAAACTGTAAAATCAGTATTTAAATATGTCAACGAAAGTTTATCATTATCTTTTCTTTTTTTTCAAAAAGAAAGGACCAGGAATAATAACAATCGACTTTATCATAAATAACATCAGTAAATACTTCAATGTCTATTTATTTGGTATATGAACTAGTACAAAGTAAATTAATCTCCACTTAATGTGAGTGAATGTGTCTAAACTTTGTGGATACTGCAAATAATTTTTTCATTGTCACAAAAGATCGATACTTCTTTCGAATGGAATCGGAAAATGAACAACAAATCAAAAATATTGTAGCATCAACTTCAATGCAAGAGATTGTAAGATTAGAAATTAAAGAAAATTTTAAATTCAAGAAAAAGTGGATTAAAGAATATTCTAAAAGGTGTCAAACTGTACTACGGTTCATTTGTTTTCCGGAGATTAGTCCAATACCGGAAGTACAATTTTTGGAAAGTGATTAAGACTACATGGATTTGTAAGACCTTATTCCTTGAGTCAAAGGCAGGAGCTGAAGTTTGGTCTTCTTCAAACTTGCGAGAGCATCTTATATATTGTTCCTCTACCTAGCTAATTCTTTTGTGCAGTTTAGAGCCACTTTCATTATCGATGAAATGCATTCCATGATTTCAAGTACGTTATCTTCAGTTTCCCTTAGTGAGTTTTCATCTACAACATCAGCTAATCCATCTGGGAGAGAATTTTTCACCCAATTCCTCAAAGTCAAGTTCTCGACAAACATTTCATCGCTGGGAGTCTTTCTCGTAAGAACTTCCATTATCATGATCCCGAAACTGTAAACATCACACTTTGTTGATACTACTCCCTCCCTTCCATATTCTAGAACATCAATATACAAAAAAAAAAAAAAAAAAAAAAAAAAAAAAATTGGCTTTCAGAAGATGATCTACAGAGATGGAAGAAGGGAAAAAAAAAAAAATATTCAAGCCACGCCAGCAATAAGCAATTTCGTAGGAGTCAATCTGATTTTATGACATCACTGCAATAAAAATGTTTTATGCCCAAATTTGTAAATCGCATATGCCACCACTGCGCCGGAAAACTGCCTACAAGGAGGAATGGCAAGAAAGCAAAGCATGCGACACGGTTCGGATTAATAGTTAAGAATTGAATTGTTTAGCTACTGATTAAAACTTAAAACTTGACGACTGATCAGTTACAGCTTGATTAAGGCCGCTGTTGATTGTGAGAGCATCAATGATATGGTGCATGGACTGACGGCGAGAGGGCATAAGGACGGCGGCTCAGTACCATGCTAAGTGTTCATTGCTTCAGTGACTTGTAAATTAGGTACTATGAGTTGGATCTTCTGTGTTATTTAATCGATTTACCCGAGACTTTCTTATCAATTTGAGGCCATAATTCGTGATAATGTCAATATTAGTATGATATTTATAGTGGTTTATATTTTGTTTTGAGTGATATTTATGTTAATATTAGAATTTTTGTGTTTAATTTGATCTTAGGAAAGATTGTGGATCAAGAGAATAAAAGTGAGTTTTAGAAGATTTTGTTGAATCAAGTTTCAAGTTGGAGAATAAGTGATTGATTCTCGCGTGGGTACACAAGATTTAAGCCAAAATCAATGACAAAAACAGGAATTTCCAGCAATGAGGTGATATTCCCGCGTTGGCATGCAGCAGTAGCGACTAAATTGTAATTTTTTAAAAGTTTTGGGGTTAAAGTGTGAGTATTAAAAATGTTGGGGACCAATCTTAAAATTTCCGAAACTTGAATTGAAAGCCGCGGATCTAAACGACTGGGACGTCGTGTGCTGCCCTATTTCTTGATAAAAAAAAATACTATTTTTCAATATATCGTAAAAAGGAGGAGAAGAGACGCAACATAGGGAGCGACGGCTGGAGCTCGAGACTAGGATTTCTCTCTATTTCGTCAATTTTATTTTTGTAATATCAAACATCAATTCTTGTGTTGTTGATTTCACCACGTTTTGTAACTAAAACTCTTTTCTAGTTGAAATATTTTATTGAAGTCTTGATGTTATTCAATTGTAAGATCTAATTGTTTTCTATTCACTAACATGTTTTGAGTATTTATTTATTCTCTTTAATGTGTATTGAAGATTATTTAGCATTATTTGAATAACTGGTAGCATTCAGTTCTCCTAGATAATCTAATTCCTTGAACAACAAGGTTTGTTTGTCCCTTAGAATAGACAATACAAGTAATTGCTTGGTAAGTAGTTTATTGTGTTGTGAGAATAAATAATTGATTTTTAATGAGGCAAGGTTTGTTTGTTAGAAATTAAATTGGGTCTTTGCTTGTCGAAAACTAAGTCATAGGAGGTTCCAGATAGTGTTTTTTTGACTATAGAGTGGTTAATGAAGGTTTCTTAATCGCTGATAAATAATTAAAAAGAGTGAGTTGTTAGGAGATTCCAACAACGATAACCAATATATTCATTTTCTGTTGAGTTAGCCATTGCATCAAGGATCAGTTGGATACATCAAGGTGAAAAATATTCCTTTAACTAGAACTTCTCTTATCATTGATTTTCGAAAAGTATCTTTTATTGTTTGCCAGTTATTTTTATCATCCATTAGTTATAAATCTTAAAACTCTCCTATTTAGTCATTTTACTTTTGATTAGAAATATTTTCACTTTCCTTGTTTCCTGAAAAGACGACCCTATTCATTACTATACTACTAAAATTTCTTAGGAGTAAGTTTTTTATTTTTGTTGGTTTGACACCCACCAATTCCATAATGATGATGGTTTGTTAATGGTGATTCTTTTGTCTTTTGATTGATCAATTTGTGTGGAGGAAGTTGATGTACTTGAGGTGCTGGACTTTTGGTCCCAAAGAAATTTCTTCTTAGTCCAATAAAATTATGTAAGACAATTTTCAGTTTACATTAGGAATATTGTCTTTGAGAAGTACGTTATTTTTTTTGTAGAAGAGTACCTTTTATAACTTCCGGCAGTATTAGGGGTAGCAACATCATTTATTCAAAACTTCAAAGATATGACTACATGAATTAGAGCTAGTTAGTTCAATTGTGATGTGTAACATTTTTTGTCCCGTTAATTTGTGGTTTGTAGCATTGAATTTGATATAGGTTCATCATACCGAAGTCTAATTTAGTGCCTCTTAAGTCTTCACTTCCCAAGTTAGTTTCGAGTTTATTTACGTCAGAAACAAGTTCTGACTTTTGATTTACTCAATTCAAGATACTGACTGCTGACGGTTTTCCTTTATGTGATGCTAGTTAAATTAACTCAACAGTAATCAAGAAATCATGCCATTTGCTTTTAGACCAAAACATTGTACTAAATATATATCATGAGTTGAATCTGTCTTATTATGGAAAACAAATGTATATCGTTCAACATCAATATAATTGACACAAGAATTAAACAAACATAATTTCTAAAACATTTTTTGATTATTCTAAGCAAAATCCTTCGTCACATATACATACGCTGTAGCCTAGATATTTTCTTTTGGCTATGTTTGGATTAATGTAGATATGTAACCATATATAGATTTTCGTAAGAAGCCTTTCCTTCAAGATATAAATTATCCTTCGGAGCTTTTAGTTTTAGATGGTGAAATTTGACCCTGACGAAATTTTCACATTACACCGAAGCTTAGTGCTATACATTTATACAGCATTTAAACAATGAAAATTGGCCACCCCAAGTCCACCCAAAAGTCCCTCCATTCTCTTTAAATGCTTGTCATATTTATAGGCCTAATCTTGAGGTTGAGGTATACATATGAACGATTGTGATTTAATTCACATCAGTTTTTATAAGTCTCTTTACAAAATAAAATAAAAATAGTGACAATAATTAAATGTATTATTACAATTTTATAATAGTTATAGCTCTTTTTGTTCCGAAATGATATTTTGTGACAGAAGCACTAGTATTATTCAGCTAATAAAATAAGTAAACAACCCGTCGTTATCAATTTGTTACATCAGTTGATATCACTGAGCAATTCTGTTAGTACGAAAATTACGATTCGCTCTTTGATACTTATATACTCTAGCATGATTCATGCAAATCAAGAAGATGGTGTTTGTTAACTAACTTTCATCTGTATTTTGCCATAAACTGCAATTCTTTTGTCATCGATGACGTTGTCTTAAAGGAGTTAAACAGCATAAATAGAACTAACAAAATCCTAAATCTTTGCAGGACCTTTTGCATCAGTTTCAACAACCTAAGAACCAAGATCGTGAAGTCTCCTCCAGACAATGACATAGTATCATAAACTTCAGGACTAAAAACATTGATTCACGCTACTTATAAGTACGAAAATTAGTATTCATCCTTGCTACTTTTCTTTTTCTTTTTCCTTCTTATTTAAAAAATATGGAGGCAACAATTCAAGATTTGTTCTCCCTTGTTGTTGGGATGATCTCCATTATAGCAGCATTTTCCCTAGGAAAACTCTTCCTAAGTACCAAATCAGCGGCTAAATCAAAGATTCCTCCAGGTTCAAACGGCTTAATCCGCTGATTGGTGAAACATTTCAGCTAGCTGCATCGGGCCCTGAAAATTTCATTCGCCAGAGGATGGAAAAATACCCCGGAAAATTATTCAGGACATCGTTATTGGGCGAGAATGTGGCCCTGATTTGTGGACCTGAAGGCAACAAGTTCTTGCTCTACTCGCCAACCGATTGTGTAGTTCCATGGCTTCCGGCAACTATAATGAAATTCACGCTCTGGACGAATCCTGAAGGGGCTTCACCCAAATAAATCCTTTCCAAGGGACGCCATTTTGTTCATGAAACCTTGAGCAATGGTAACGCCGTGAGGGATTACATTCCGGTCATGGATTCCATGGCGCGCGAGCATTTGATTCGAGAGTGGAAACCTTTCGATGATGTTAAGGTTTATACTAAGGTGAACAAGTTTGCACTTTCATTGGCATGTAGACTATTGTTGGGAATAGACGATCCCATTCAAGTCCAAAAGTTTTCGGATACTTTTCGCTATGCAATGTCTGGTTTTTATTCCATGCCTGTTAATTTCCCTGGTACGAGTTACCATAGTGCTCTGAAAGAAATCGGAAGTTTGAAGAAGCAAATGTTGAAGATCATTCAAGACAAGAAACAGCGCTTGAAAAACTCTGGCGCTGCTGATACTAATGTAGATATATTATCTTGGATGCTGATGGATCCGAATTTCAAGTCAAAACCCGAATCAGAGATTGCTTTCAATCTCATAACTCTTCTGATTCCAAGCCATGAATCCACAAGTTCTGCAGCCGCTTTCGTTTTGAAATATGTTGCTGAGTTTCCCTCTATCCATGATATGGTTTACAAAGGTACGTTACACATATGGAAATTTTCAAAATTAGCTTGGATTCAGTTAAGGGTTCATATATAAGTAGTTGTCCAAAAATGCAACAATTGAGATCCAATTAATCGTGCTTGATGATGAAATTGATGCAGAGATGATGGCGATTGCGAACTCCAAACCTCCTGAAGAGCTGCTGAATTGGGAAGACATTCAAAAAATGAAATATTCTTGGTGTGTCATCAATGAATCCCTGAGGCTAACACCTCCTGGCTTAGGAACATTTAGAGAAGCCACTAAGAACCTTAACTTCGCAGGTTACACTATCCCAGAAGGGTGGAAGGTTTGTCAATATTGTAGCACCCTATTACATTCAGCGAATTCGTAGACTAAATAATACACATTTGTACTATGTTAGACAACGATATTGTATCAGTATTAACCTAGCAATATGTCACATTTACTGATTTCCTGAAAGTATCATCACTCTATAATCAACGTGTACTCGTAACATGTATCTTTCGTATTGTTTGCAAAATTTCAGGTGCTGTGGAGTCCCTTTACAACAAACAAAGATCCCAAGTACTATCCTGATCCAGATAAGTGTGATCCGACCAGACATGAAGGGAACGGACCAGAACCTGGGACTCATATGCCGTTTTCAATGGGGCCTAGAAAGTGTCCTGGCCAAGATTATGCCAAATTCGTGGTCTTGGTTTACATGTACAATGTGTTGAGAAGATTCAAGCTCCAAGTATTGAACCCAGATGAAAATATCATGTATCGCGGCGGTCCGATTCCAGAAAATGGTCTCCCCATGCGTCTGCAGCCACTTTACAGGAATGTATCTCATAAAACAGAATAGCCCGAAGTGTTTTTTTTTTCTCGGTAATGAACATATGATGATACGATGAAATAAAGACATGAGCCCGACTTTTTATCGCATTGTTGATACATCTGTAGCAATGTAATATAGTACTTTCATCGGCCCGAAATTACCAGTACTCTTATTTTGGGACAAATAGAGTAAAACTTACAGCTCAATTATACAAAATTGTCAAATTGTACTCCCTTTCTTCGTTATTTATTGTAAGCCACCATTTCTGTCTTGGATGTCCCAAATTTTAAGTCCTCTCCCACTCTTAAATCGAATAATTATCAACAAAGTCTTAATTCTAACCTTCATAGCTGGATTTAATACTTCTATGGTTTGAACGTATACTCTCTTTTCTTGGACCCGTTCTCATCTTAAGCAACTTGAGGGCCAGATTAATTTGACATATTAATCTTTTTAGCCAATACATTCAATGTCTCTCTTAAGCATCATGACGACTCTGGTAATTGGCAAGTCTCTTGAGAAAATGTGCAGATTTCTCAACAATACATTTTTTTTTTCTTTTTATGTAGGGCAAATTTGGGAAATAGCCAATTAATCCAATGCTGAAACATATCATTTCTTCTCTGCGTTTACATTCTTTCCCATTTTCCTTCTTACTTACAACATCAAAACACTCCGTTTGGTTGACTGACGATAACCTCAAAAGTCATGCATTCAGACTACTGATAATGAATTCTTTTGGCCAATTAAGATCCAAACTAATCAGTAGAAGACAGGGCATCAAACAGCTACATCCCTCAAGTCATTAAGTACTTATGTTTTCTCATTCGCCTCTAAGATATATTAACAAACCAATGGAATGACTCTGTGAAGTTTCCATTTCAGGTACTACACCCCATTTTGTGCATAAACTTCTCTTGTTGCAGTTGGAAAAAAAAAGCACGAAACTCGATGACAGAGCTTCTGTTTGTTGCAATTTCCTTGGCCACCCCAATACTGCATCTTGGAACACGAGCGCGGACTATTGCATCGCGATGAGTTGAGTGGTGAAGTTATCGGCCTTGATCTTAGTTGCAGCCGTCCTCAAAGGGTGATAGAATCCGACAGCCTGGTCTTCCAACTATCTCACCTTCGTAACCTTGCCTCCAATAACTTCACTTTGTCCTTTGTTTACTTTAATCTTCCTTGATCTCTCATCACCTTTCACCGACTTTGTAAGCCAACCTCGACATATAATTCAACCCCATGTTTTTAAACTACTCCAAAACTCAATAAGAAATAATTTCATTTGAAGGTACTGAAATCACTTTATTTTTTGCCCTGTTATGTGTTTCCTTGAAAGTTGTGAATCTTGGTAACACAAACTTGTTCGAAGAACTTACGAGTGACACATTCAAGTTCAAAACTTCCAAACTCTTCAACTATTCAACAACAACCGTAACCTCACCGGAAATTTTATTCGACTCTGAGTGAACAGTAGCAGTGCACTTGACATAGTCTAATACTGAATTCTTCGGTGAACTACCCAAATCTTTTGAAAACTGAAAATCTTTGTATCATTTGGACCTCGGATGCTGCTACTTTTTTGGGGGTCTGTTCCTGGGAAGCAAACTTAAAATTCCATCAAGTTTTGAACTGGGAAGCAAACTAAGAAGCCTCAAGGCTCAATTTGCATGACAAAAAGTTAGAAGGAACAGTCCCTCAATCATTGTCAAATTGCAAAGAATTGCAAGTGATCGATGTTGGAAACAACAATTTAAACGGTACATCTCCATAGTGGTTGAAAACTCTTCAAAAGTTGCAGCTTCTAACTTCTAAGCTTTTAAGGAGTTCAAAAACAGGAGTAAATGCAGTTCAAAAACAGGAGTATCATCGCCGCATTAAGAAATCCTAGATCTTTCTCGTACTGAATTCATAGGTTTCCTACCCGAAGAATTTTCGCTCAGCTTACAGGTATGATGATCATGAACCCGTCATAGAGATTGATATTCAGTGACCTAGGGGTTTACGATCAAGATTCACTTCTGGTGATAACGAAAAGGACTGGAGATATTCTGGCTGTTCTTTTTTCCATATATACAATCATAGATATCTCTAGCAACAAATTTGAAAGGGTCATTCTAGATGTCATTGGAATTCTCCGTTCAATTCAAGGATTAAACCTTTCTCATAATAAGTTTGAAGGCCAAATCCCACAATCTTTCAAAGACTCATCTTCTCCAGATCCTCAGACCTATCCTCAAACCAACTCAAAGGAGAGATACCGCAACAACTAACAACATTGACATATCTCAGTTTTAAACCTCTAAAAACTTTCCCCGGGCACATACATCGACGCACCAAGTTGATACATTTGACAGTATTTCATTACTTGAGGAACAATGGACTTTTGTGGATCTCCATTGTCAATATTGTGTTTGTCTGATTTGGAGCCGACAAAAAGTGCTAATCCAGCCCTAGATGAGAAAGGAAATGACTTCATTGATGGATTCACCTAGCAAGCTGGTTGGATGTGGAATTTGAATTGTTATTGAACTGAGCACGGGAGCCTAATTCTTCACCAAACTACCAAAACTGTTAAAACAAATTTGAAGAGGATTCGAGATTAATAAAAAGGAAATGGCCAAAGAGATATGAAAATAACGTCAAGACCATTTGTTCCATTATTCTTTCACTACCTTCTCGGGCCCAGAAAAAAAAAAAAAGTTCACGTTGAATTTTCAAATTTGTATTAAAACTGGTACAAATATGAAAATACAATGTGCACTATTTTTCATGGATGATAGATAGTATCTCAACAATTTGTTGCCTTTTTTGGTAAAGACTTAAGACTATCACAGTATCACTGATTGATATATATTTCAGCACAAAAAGACACTTCAACTCTAAAATGAGAGAAAATCACCGATCACACAACAATAGTTATTTGCACACAGAATTTGAAAAATCAACTAATTCACAACAACTATTTTACGCCAACTACGATCAATGAGGAAAAAAGGAAACCGCAACAGCTACCAAGTGCGGCAGATAGACTTGAAATCATTTGTACAAGTTTTCCATGGTAGATCTCAACTTTTCCACATCAGCACCTACAACCGTGGAGGCCTTTTTCCCGTTCTGAAAGAAATGTATTGTAGGCTGCAGCAGAAAGCACTCTCCATCAACAAAGTTGTTTCATTAAAGAAGAAACTTCAGATACAAAGCACTATTAGAATCCTGCTAAACTAAAACCAGCAACTTTTTGTACATATGTAACAAGCTTTGATTCCAATTTCTAGATAGATGGTAAATTAGAAAACATAAAATCTACTCTTGACAAGCTGAATAATATACAGAGTGAAATGAAAAACTATAATAATTCATTTGGAGCAAAAGGAAATGAGATAAAACTGCGTTTCTGCAGATATGCACACAAAAGAACGCAGAGACTTTGATATAAGTAAAGTAGTAAACGTAGCTCAAGCAGCAAGTTGCAGCCGAACACTCATAAGAGAGGAGCACTATAGGACACTATACATCCAACAATAAGATTGAAAATGGACCCAGTAACTACAAGAAAAATCATTCTAGATCTAGGAAAATCATTCATTTATTGTCTGATGCAGATAAGATACTTCAATCCATGAATGAAGCCTAGTATTTTTCAGCCTAAGGAAAGCACACATGGAAGAAATACTCTCGTTAAAGGTGAGGATGGGATAATATCAAAATTTCAAAACTCAGGTATAAAAAGGATACATGAAGAAATGTAAAAAGATAGAGAATGTATCATAAGGACCCTTTATCACGAAATTACTATGATTAAAAATCAATTGCGTCTCGTATCAACAGTATTTTTCAGCAATCAGGTTATGTTTACTTCACATAACTTCATCTACGTAGGTCTCCTCTGTAATATTCAGACAATGATACACATGCTTGAATGATAGTTGAGTGATAATGCACACAATATTAGAAAACAAAACAACCATTATGACAAAGGTTTTAAACCGAGATTAAAGAAGCACCAATTCAACTTAGCAATACCTAATGGCCACGTCTTCCAGGTAGCAAGTTAGAGATAAATATGAAAACCAAGAAAGAAACTTATTAGTCAGAATTCATACCACTGCTTCAACATTTGATTCGGATAGTGCTGTACCAAGAGCCTCCTGCATATATAACCCCAATTAGAAACACACTCAAACATCCGATACATACATTTGCCTCCATTCAAGAGAGACTGCGAAAAGCTCCGGCAGAAGTTCAAATGCAACAGCATTTGGATTAATGCGGGTTTAAAAACTAATAAAGAAATTTCCGTAAAAGAATACCAAGGTACTTAGTAAAGCCGAGGTATTTCATATGATTGTGCCAAGGAGTAGAACATAGAGACAAAGACTCTTTAACGGAAAAATGGACCGAAAAAAAGGAAAGAAAATTGGAAATGCCATACATAAAGATCCATGTTTAATATATGATTGAACAAGGGAAAATGAGAGTAGTATTGGAATAAAGAAAAGGACAGAGCACTAGAAAAAGTTCCAAATAAAAAGGGGAACAGCAATATAGAGTTCATTACCTTATCAATGTCAATTTTATAGGTTGTGACATGAGGATATTTTGCACTCAGTTGGCTGATAATAGGAGCTAGTAACCTACCTGGACCCAAACAAGAATCATGCATAAGTTAGAAAGAGCCAAGAAGATTCATTGAGGCTTATCATTACAGAAATAAACAAGAAACATCTCTTACAAGGTCCACACCAGGCAGCAGTGAAATAAAACATAGCCGGCAATGCCTCGTCTGACAACAAATTCAAAAACAAAAAGTAAACGTCAAGGAACGAGAAACATTAAACAATCTCAAAAGTATGTGACGTATTTTACATCTAGTACCTTGTGCCTTGCGAAGTGAATCACGAAACTGCTCTTCAGTCTCAATTGAGATAAGATTTGATCCACCTGCAGTAGTAAATCAGATTAGCTAGAAACTATTATTGAAAACAGGAAATAAAAATAAATAACTTTTAAAAAGTAATCTCATCAAAGCATGGGGATTCAGCTTATTCATTTCCTCTTTTCCAACAGCTTTTCCCCAGTAGGTAAGAAGACAGCTCATAAGGTCCTATCCCAACTTAAAAATTCTTATAAACCTTAGCTCATCCATATCAGATGACAAGCTTTTCTACCTTTACCTAAAAATTTCAAAAATTCCTTATTTGTTTAACTATGGCCTCCTATCACTGATTGGCATAAAAATATAAAGAGAAAAAAGTTCAAGAAGATATAACATTATGACATCAAAATGAAATAAGAAGTACTCCCTTTGTCTCACAAAATTGAAATCAGCCATGAACACACCAACAAAATCAGCCAATTTCAGTCCATTTGGCCACTTAACAAGATTATTGGCACAACACCAATTTCCCCTTCATAATCACATCGTATAGATAACATTGTTCGAGCAATTTGTTTCCATCCCACCCGTTGATAATTGATGATCGAAAAATCCACTTCAAAGTTAAATATCATAAACAGTCAAACAAAATTTAAAAAAAGAAAAAAAAAATTGAAAACAGAGCACGAACTTGAACCTGAGGAATCAGTAGAGAAATTTCGAATACGATTGAAATGTAGGGTGGATGGAGAAACCGAAGAAACGAGAGGAGCAGTTAGGGAACTGAAAAGAGGCATGTGCCCCACGCCGGAGAGGAACAGAGTGGAAAACGACACCGTTGCAGCGGCGGAGGAGAGCAACAGGGTTTCGTTTCGCGACGGCGACAGGAAAGAAGACCGAGCGGCCATGAAGGAAGAAGGCCTCGAGTTCGCCAGACGACGTAGTATCGCTGAAGCCATTCTGTCAACGTTCAGTTCACAACGATGCTTTCTGCGGTGAGGTGGGTTTTTGCTGGGTTTTGGACCAAATTGAATTTGAGCTTATTTTCAATTTTCCCCTCCAAAATCTGATGGTTTACGAATGACTACCACTTGATTATTTTTCTGGTATTTATACCCTACTTGCTTGAGATTATTTTATAGTAATTAATTTCTTATATTGTGACATACGATATATTTAGAGGGGACAAATATTTTCTGATGTTTATTCAAATTTTTCAATTCCAAATATGATTCATACTCTCAGACCACGTTAAAAACCAAGAATTTCCTTGATCAGAGAAAGAACAAAACTCGGAGCCGCAACTAAAACATACTCAAACTAATACACAATCAAATGTTTGATAAATACGTTAGAACTTATCTTCTAACTACATGGTTCTATATCAAAGCTTGAAATAATGATTAATTACTATAGTTGGAACTTTGAGGTATTGTTTTTCCAGCCTTATTAGCATATTATTTATGTGTAATACCAACATGCATGTCATCATTTTGATTCTAAGATCTCATATGCAAAAGTGGGACTTAACATTTTTCAACCAAAAAAAAAAAAAAAAAACTACAAATCCCTTCGTCTCAAAATAATTATTCAATTTAAATTTTCACTTTTAACATAAATTATACTAAAAATAAAAATCCAAATTGTTAAAACAGAAGGAATATTTTATTATCTTAAGCATGAAAATGTCACATCCATTCTCGGTACATTATGAATCTACTAGGGAGCATGAACGCACATGTGTGAATGAAGTTGCCGTAATTATATATTTTGAGTATGAAATTTCACTGTATAATATTTTTCTGTGAACCATGCAATTAAAGGCATAAAGTAAACTTTTTAAGATAGGTTGCTTGGATGTTGAGCCTCAGTGACGGTGGTTTGTTATAAATTTATGGTAGAAGAATGGAACAAAAAAGCACTGCGGGGATAGCTCAAGCAACACCTATCATCCGAATTCCACCGGAAGTTGAGACTATTTTATAGCACTGTATCAACACTATTTTGAGGGGAAGACAATTTGGTTACAATTGAAAGTTCGATGGTTTGAAATTTCATAATTCTACATAATTCCTTATATTCTTTCTTCCCTTTCAGACTTTTATTTTTTTTTTCTTTTTTTTAGGAATACAAACGGTTTAAATTTTTATGATGATTAACAATGATAATTATTAGTCTTAAATAATTAAAGAGTTAAATAAAATTATAATAATTAATTGTATTGATGTCATGTATAAATGAACAATAAACCAAAGAACCATTTTTTCAAGACTACCAAACTAAAATCCATATTTCCCAATTATAATATAGCATGATAAGACTAAAATTCATTCCCGGATAATGTTTGGAAGTACTAATATTCAGTTGGTACAACATTATTACATTATAAATTTATTCTATTCATCATGCAACATGATCCTTGCCTAGTGAAAAGATTTTAAGCCGTAGTTTCAAAGTTCAAGAAAGCGAATCCTTTTTCAGGTGAAATGGGGGTTTATGAGCAAACAAAATAGATTATTGTCTCCATTGTAGGGAAAAAAAAATTATTAACCCAAAAAATAGAAGTTACACTTGCGAAACTAATGAGAGTAGTGTAGCGTACAATAAATTAGTAGACAAATAAATTTTATTACTCCATATCTAAGAAAATAATTTATATTAAATTTTATAATTATAGTATATAAATCACAAAACTTATTGTGTACTCTTTTTTTTGAAACAAAGAAATACTATAGGGCCTGTTTGTCCAACTCTCATTTTGCCTTTTTGTGTCATTTTTTTCTCTTAAACACAAAACCCAATACATTATCTAAACAACACTTTAATTTACATTTTAAAAAATATTCTAAAAATTATTTTTACACAATTTTAGTCCACCACCACCGAACCACCTCCACCACCGCCTACCACCGCCGGACCATCCCCTGCCGCCACCGGCCGGCCGATCGCTTGCCAGCGGTGGTCCAGCGGCGGTGGTGGATGTTCCGGCTGTAGAGACAGGTGGTGGTGTTGCTCGGTGGTGGTAAAAAAAATTATATTATTTTAATTAAAAACTATCCAAACAATTTTTTAAATTTTATCTCAAAACACATTTAAAATCACGTCTCAAAGTCAAACCAAAAACTAAAGCAAAAACTAAAACAAACCATCATCCATGCAAGCCCATATAATTATGAAATAAGAAATGTTGCCATGTTATGATTAATAATTCAGTTAATAACACATTTTTATCCATACAAAAATCATTATACAAAGCATTTGGATGGTCAGTCGAACAATTCCATCCATGACACTATAAAATTTTATCTTATCAAAATGTCCTATTCTTTTCCTTTGTTAGAAGTAAGTAACAGATGTCACCTACTCAGAAGTTAAACTGATCATCCAACTTTCATAAATGCAAAGTTACACTAACTAGCTACCAGAACAAGAATAACTAGCCGCTTCATGAAATTCTCTCAAGCAGTTATTTGGTACGGTAATAATAACATTAATTGAATGCTAGCTAGCTAGCTCACTTTTGTTGGTGTTAGTTACCGCTTTCATCCTTTTAAAATAATACCGTCAATTACCGCTCCCTCAACCTCATCAACTTATATATATACATCTTAGAAGTACAGCAAACAGGTGCAATAGTATTTAGTAGTTACAGAAAGATTAACAAAAAATAAATAAATGGAGGCAAAAGGCATCATCAAGAATACTTTGGCCTCAATAATACTCATGACCATGGTGATCACGGCATACTCCGGCGATGCCGCCGCCGGCGAGCAGCATCCCTACGTCGATTGCTTCACGAAATGTTCTCCTTCTTGCTTCACACCGATGGTTAATCACAAGTGCTTAATAAACTGTGACCTCAAGTGCCATGGTTCCGCCACTGGCCAATTCTTGGGCCAGTGCAAAAGCATTTGTGAACAGGTTTACTGCTCCAGAGGTTTGTCACCACATACTTTCCTTTCTTTTTCAATTAACCGAAAATAAACACATACTCATTTCGTTCTTAACTTTAAAAATTTATTTTCTTGTTCAACATACAAGATCTTATTTTGGGACGAAAAATAAAAACGAGTTTTGAGTTTTCAAGTAGTAACATCTATCATGCGCCTTATGCGTGTTACTAATTTTCTACCCGTTTTCATATATGTTGGGTATATCTTTGCTAAATTGTTGTAATATATCGCTTTCGATTGAATTTTTTTTCTCTTTTTGTTTTGTTAACAGTTAAACATGCACTCAAGAAGCGTATTTGCGACACCACCTGTGCAACGGTCTGCCATGCAAAGTGAAGCTATTTAGCCAAAACCATGTGGCTTTCAAGTTGATGTAACAATCTATATGTAATTGTCATCAACAGAAAGGGGAAATTATGATATCATGGTGGAGTTCTTCAATAAATGAAATTTTGTTGATTATTTTGTATTGTTCAATATAAATTTAGTACATATTTGTTTCTCTTGGATCTTAATTTGCTTCTACAGCTCTACCTTTATATTTCTTCTAATTCCAAATTTCCTTCAAATCATAAGTTTGCTTCAAATTATTTTCAACAAATATTCCGACCGACTTATCAATTATCAATCCACTCCAACATGTTGCCAGGAAGGAGATCGCAAATTAAAAAACACAGAATATTAATGGTATCGATCTACCAACCATTGCCCATTGTACAATGATATTAGTAAAGATTACAATGAATTTTTAAAGATATTGATATTAATTGTAGTATGTTTGTACAATTCTTAAGTTTCATCATGGTCACGACTCATTCGACTCATCCTTATCGTCAATGTTTGGTCAGCCTCTCAAGAACACTGAAGGTGGGGATTTTGATAAATTACTGATTCCAAAAAAAATAGATTTACAATTTGACATGGTACTAATTGTTTGTTATTTTCTTTAATTGCTTGACATTGATTTGTCAAGTTTAACATGATACGACATCAAGTCATTGCACGCAAAAAGGAAAAAAAGAAAAAGAAAAAAAGGGTTAAATATAATACTCCCTTATCCTAAAAAAAATCTATAATATCAAATTTAGAACTTTGTACTAAAAATAGTATAAATCTAAAAATTCAATATAGATTTTTTTTGTTTTACTTTTTCTATCTTAAAATATAGAAAAAAGAAATCTAGTTTGCTGAATTCAATAATAAGTCAAATGAATTTTTTTTTTCTTGGATCTATGAGATGAAAGTGCATGCATTGGAACTAGATGCGTTCATACTAAATTATTTGATGGCAAATAGGCAGTATTATTTTCAATAAAAAATTGGCAGTATGTATTTCTTTCAGGCAGTTGACTTTTGATCATCTGCCACCATTAATTGGCCGGTCAACTTTGACCCTTCTCAGTTCCCACTAAGCAATTTATAATCTCAAAAATTAAAGAGTTATACTGATCGAATAATTCTGGGCACAATGAAGAAAAGTAGAAAACATCGACCTAGTAGATAGTACATAGCTTTTTATGGTACAACGAAGAAGAAGTTCGAATTGTTTTCATGATTTATAACAACTATAGTTTCAAGAAATATTTCTTAAATGTGAAAAGATACATAATTATAATTATGAAAGCGCATCCACTCTTATTAGTTATAGTGAATTTACATCTCGTTGACTTAAATAAAGTGCAATTAGCAAGGACTTGAGAAATGAACACTAATTTTTTTTAATTATATTTAGTGGTTGATACAAATAGAAAGACAGAGTCTCAACAACCATAGAAAATTATGTTACACAGATAATTACTTGCCCAATTTGAAAGGTCAGGTAAGGTCATGCTCCCATTAGGGGATGTGGCATTCAAGAGAAAATATTCTCTTATATGTTTCATTTTCACATGTCTCTCTCCACCCAACAATTTCCATATTTGATATTTCCTTATGAATTCATCTTTTCTTTTCTTCACAACCAACAAAAAAATAATAATAAATAAATAAAAATGATTAAGAGAATCAAATTGGCTATGATAACGTGCTCTTCAATGTCACCATTTCGGAATTGGTATGGTCAAAACTTTGATTAGACTCATCATCGCCAGGAGATTTCAATTCCCACCGTTTAAGTCGTTGCTTAGCTTTACTCACTTCTAAATCCCAATCCGTTCTCCAAGTCATGAAGGACAGTGCAAAACTTTGAGTAACAACTCCACATAACATTCCAATCCAAATGCCCTTAACTTGCAAGTCAATCAAATACCCAAGCAAAATCCCAATTGGAATTCCAATCAAGTAATAACAACAAAGGTTGATAATGGCAACTGAATTCTGCAAACCAGCTCCGACCGCCACGCCGGAGAGCACCAGATAAATTCCGTTGAACAAGATTGAGAATGCAAGCAGAACAGATAGTTCCGACACGCCGTCGATGACTTCTTTTTCGTTGGAAAACAAGTACCCGATTTTGTTCCCAAACATTAAGCAAACAGCCCAGAAGAAAACCCCTATCAGAAATGATGTGCTGAAAAGTACCTTAATTGAGAATTCCGCAGCTCTGGCATCTCCCCTGCCTAGTTCATTAGCAACCCGAACACAGGCGGCGCCGAAGAACCCGAGGCTGATCGTTAATTCCCATCCGTTGATACTCAGGCAATTCGCGAAAGCCGAGATAGCGACCTCAGCATTTTTCATGTATCCGGCAAGAAGTACCAACACGGAATTATACCATAACTCTAGAAAAAGCATCACCCCTGAAGATACAGAGAGTTTCACCACCGGCCAGATATCTTTAAATGCAGCCATTTGAAAACCTGTCCATGAATCCGGGCACCAGCCTCCGCAAATGTACACGAATTCCCCGATTACCACAAGCCACGAAGAAATCCCCAGAGCTAGAATCCCGCCGGCAGTTCCCCAATTCAGAGTGTAGACAAGAAGCCAAGACAGGGGAACATGAATTAACAGTTGCGAAATCGACAGCCAAGCGATGATCGTATTTTTTTGTTGCGCTTGTAAGAAATTTAAGTTGGTCCAACAGAAAACGTAACTGTAGATTAAAGGGATGAACCAGAGGGACGCATACCCAGCAGATTGCGCGACTTTCTCTTCTTCTCCGAGAAATCTAAACAGGGATGTCCCGAAGATGAAACAGGGGAGAAATAAAGACAGAGCAAAGAAATTAACAATCCAGGATCTCTGCAAATAAATGCCCATCATGTGGAATTGTCCCGCACCAAAAGCTTGCCCGCAAAGCGTTTCTGTGGCGCTCGACATTCCGATCAGGATTCCGGTGATAAACCGGACACTCATATTGTGAACCAGAGCGTAACCGGCGAGCTCTAACTCGCTGATATGGCCTACAAAAGATTGAGTGACGACCAATGTCCCGAATGAAGCAACACCTGATAGAACAGCAGGCAATGCAACCTTCCATATCTTCTTGGATTCTTGAAAAATAGTACTCTGTTTCGGAGTCAATGCGTTGACCTGATCGAGCTCTTCTTGATTGTGATCATTTACTGCACTAAGCAGAACTCGTTTCTCTTGAAGTTGAATCTCGCCTGCTCCCATGGTGGTTTATGGATGACTAAAAAATTTCTGCTTAATGAAAGAAGAAGGATGGAAAGGAGGAAAAAGTGGCGGAAAGAAATGAACTGAAAATGCCCAATCTGAATGTCCACATTTGAAGCGTTGACAAATGCAGGTTTGATGTCGTTGATCCGCTTACCTCAAGATGATTATTTTATTGCCACCAACCATACTATTTTGGTAACAGAAATGAGTGCTCCCCATTCCTGCATTCCACGTTAAATACTCTGGTTCTATTTCTCTAAGTTCGCGAAAGAGTAAAAAACAAACAAAATCGTATTTGGTGCCAATATATACAGTGAGATACCAGTGAACTAAAGAAATTACGACCAAATCACTATGAAAAACAAAATGCGTTATAAAATAAATGATAGTTATGGCTTATGCCTTTCTTTCTTGTGATGTATAGATATGGCTATCTGGATATCTTTTAATACACATATTACATTAGTTACTATACAATTTTAGTATTTTGAGTTCCATAAAAAAGAATCCACTCCTACAACGTATTAATAAAGCTAAAAACTTTCACGATGCCATCCCATGCTTGTTGTTAATCTTTTTCACTACCATTGTTTTATTTTATAAAAGAAAAATGAATTTCTACAGAAATTTTGTGAGTTGAATAGAAATGTGTGATGTATGTATGACTAGCTAGCAGCAATAAAATGTACTGTAACATGATTCGTTAAATGAAATGAAAGAGGAGTACGGACTACAGACTACAGACTACAGAGTATTCATGAATTTTGTACTTGCATAATGCATACATACTATACGTAGATATCATCTTGGGCGAAATACATTTTGCCCCTCGAGTTTCGGCCACAAGCCCACAACTACCATTTCCTCCGTAAGCAATGGTGTTAAACTCGGTTTGGACAAGCTGGTCGGACCGGAATAATCAGAAACCGAACCACGTACCGATCCAAGTTGTTTTGAAACTCGCCAAATTAAGACTCCGTCGAAACCGGTCAAACTCGGCGAGTTAACCAGAATCGGGTAAAACAAAATCGACGACTGTGTCGCTTTTTGGTTCAGATTTCAATTTTTTTTTTCTTTTTCGCTTTTCGGCTGTGTTTTCCACGTATGCTTGGTCCCAATGTCATCCTTTTCACTTTTTTATTCCTTATAAAAAGTTTTAGTTTCCAAAATGACCCATAATTTTTAATATTCGTATTTGTTTAACTTCTACTTTGGTTTTTATTCTAAATTTTTAATTTTGACAACTCATGTGCCAAATTGTCATTACCCATCATCCCAAACAAAAATTAAAAAAATACCCCAGAAACTTAAAGTTAAAATATAATATAATTTTCTTAACAATAGTCAATGGGAAAAAGCCACTTTATGTACCTTAAGAATAGGGGGTCTCTAGATTATGCACCTTAAGAATTGGGCTCACCAAATCATGTAGCCTATGTTTGAATTTTGTTGTTTTAATTACTTTTTAAGGGCAAAATAGGAAACTAACAAAATTTTGTCCTAAACTACTATGTTTTTACCCCCAAACTTCTAAAAAAGAGCAAATTAACCATAAATTTTATTGATTTTACCCAAATTTATCTTTCAGTCAGATTTCAATAAATTGCGCCTAGATTTTGGGTCAAAAATTTCTCACGACTTCCAGTGTTTATTAGTTTGACGTATATATTTGTTTTGTTTTTGTGAGTTTTTCTTTATTATAAGTTTAATTTATATTTTTATTTGTCATTTTACATAATTATTTTGAAAAATATTTTTAATTCTTTCCTTTTTTTGTACCTTTTGTTTAAATTCTTTGCACTTTGATGCAATTCTAGTAACGCATAATTTTTTTAATTTTAAGCGAATTTTCAGAGGTTCTTTTAGGCGAGTTGAAACAAAACCTAAAAAAAAAAAATATGTTCATAAAAATACATCAAAGTGCCAAGAACTTGAACACAAGTACAAAAAAGAAAGGACTAAAAGATATTTTTTAAAATAATCATAGCAAACAACAAACAAAAGTATAAATTAAACTTATAATAACAAAACTCGCTAAAATAAAACAAATATGTACGTAAAAAATAATAAATACTAGAAGTCATGGGAAACTTTTGACCAAAATTTAAGTATAATTTGCTGAAATATGACTGGATGATAAATTTTTGTAAACTAAATAGAATTTATGGTTCAATTTGCTCTTTTTCAAAAGTTTTGGGGCAAAAAATAGTAGTTTAGGACAAAATTTTATTAGTTTTCCATTTTGCCCTTTAAAAAGTACATAAAACAACAAATTTTAAACATAGGATACGTGATTTGATGAGACTAATTCTTAGGGTACATGATCTGGAGACTCCCTATTCTTAGGGTACATAAAGTGGAATTTTCCCATAGTCAATTATCTAACAAATGCTATTTATTACTACAACAATAATAAATAATGTTAGTTATAATTTAGGAGGGAATTGCCATAGAAGAGCTGAGATGGTTGACTGTGTATTCATTTAGATTATCTCTCCACATAGATAAGCATTTGATTTCGATTTGTTTTTCCATCAAATGCAGCTTTTTTTCAGATAGGAATAGCTAATTTAACACAAATGTATGTAGGCATTCGACCTTTTGAGGTAAAATTTTGTGCAGCATTGGTGCCCAAAGAGTATGCATTGCATTCCACAATGAATCGTGAGATTTCTGAATCAATACGTCCCCTGTTTTGCGAAATGTTTCCGACATATATTCCAATGCTTGGGAGGATTTTTGGTTGACAAACTCACATTTACTTTAACTTGCAAATGCTTAAGGTGTCTTCAACTTATAAGGCATGAATACTCACCGGTGAAGAGAAAGCTCGAGACAATGTTCCAGGTAATAAACAAATGTGTACAATATCGACAATTCAACTTCTATTTAGTAATTTCTCAAAAAAAAAATTCCTGAAATTTGTATATGTTGCAATGTATATGGAGAAGCAAGTTTTGGCCGCTGGTGGATCAATTCTGATGCATTGAGATGTTGACTCTGTCGCATCAAATGAAAGGAAGAACGAGGAGAAGAAGAACAATGCACTTAAGAAATGTGGATAGATTGGAGTGTGGATTTGTTTTTATGTGATTGTGTTCTCATTTTGTGGCAAAGTCTATCATCTTTCATAGTTTTAGGTTTGAGGTCAAGTTGCATTGTAATGTACCAAACTCTAGGAGGCAATGAACAAATGTGAATATGGCCCTGCAGAAACTCTCCCATTCCTTTGTTACTCTTTACGTCTAAGAAAATAGTTTACATTGAGTCTTGAGATTGTACTGTAAAATTCAATATAGACTATTTTTTTTTTTTGATACAGAATAAGTATAATTCTTTGAATACTCTGAAACAACAAAGGTGCTCCATGAATAATGATTGGGAAGATTCTATTGTTGTCACTTTGTTTCCTAGTAACTTTTTAAATTTGAAACAAAAGTCAGAATTAGGTGCTCTATTCCTAGTTATTATTTGAAAATAGTCAAATAGTTAGTACTATGTTATGATTATTCAAGGGTTACTCGAGATTTATCATGTTGAGAGTCATGATCATCAGGTATGGCCATCTGATGCGATAAAAGAGATTGATCATGTTGAATGTCATAATGATGATCAAACCAAAACTTTATCTTCCAAGTTTCGTGATGAGTCCATATCCAATACGGATTATTGGACCGGCTAATCCGCCAATAATAGGTCCAACCGACTTATCTAGGGCGGTTTTAACAATATGAAACCTAGTTGGATTTGGACATCTTCTAGGTAATCCTATGCCTATAAATAGAATTGATTACACCACAATAAAGGTACATTATCTCTAGCTCCAATTATCATACACACATTACTCTACAAACCCTTTTAATGACTTAAGCATCAGAGTGTCTACCCTCGAGAGACGCCCGAAACTTTTTTTACAGATAAACCCTACCAGAGTTCCACTAAACCGGCAATACATTTCCCGGCATCGTCATTCCGTCTTATTTCTTACGGAAATAAGTATTCCGTGATTCCAATTGTTTAAAATTCAGATACTAGCTTAGTAGCTTCAGTTATTTTGCCTTTTGAAGTGGGAAAGGATGGGACGTCCTGTTCATATGCCGCAGCAGGAAAAAAAAAACGGGAACAGAGAATAAGGAATGTGCATCTCCATTGTTGCATATTTTTTTAGTTCGAAAATAATTTTTTTCCATGTTAATTAAGTTTTTATTACTAAATAGAACTTCTATGTTAATAGAACTTCTAAAAATTAATAGTATTAAGACCACCAAAATTTATTAATTTAGAGAATTATTAAATAATCGATAAATTACTAAATTATTCATTTAACGAATTTCTATGAGGAAAAAAAAATCGTCACTATATTACTTAAATTGCATTTGTCTTAATTAGGATTAACAATCTGCACTTTATTCCTTAGGTTTTTAATAGGAATAATTAACACATTCTTTTGTTTCTGTTCGTTCACCATGATCTATAACTACAGACAAAAATTTACCTGCAATACTAAATAGATCCCCATCAGGCCGATATATGAGAATCAAAAGTTGTTTGTCAAGCTTGATCCATTTTGGGGAAGAAGACAATAATTTGGGCTACCAACTTACCAAATATTTATCTTATAACTGTGGGATAGGGCCAACTTGAATGGATCTTGGTCTCCTTAATCAGTTATTTTCATGCGAATTAGATGATTTTAATGAAAATGACAAGTTCTCTATTGGTGTCTTCCGACAAGGAATGAAACGGGAAAGAGAGACTTTCAAAGATGTTTTTTTCGATTTCTTTGTAGACCCGGCTCAAATGGGACTTTTCTTTTTTGTTTCATTTTTTTTCCTATTGATATGTTTTTACATGATTATATCTTATTACTAAATATATTGATGAAAATATATTATGGATGATTATTTAAGAATACCCTTTTTATAATACATTTAGTTATACATCCAGACCATAATACTTTATGTTTTGCATAATCGACAAACTACTAATCCAGTCTTTAGAATAAAATATTCAATGAACAACACACTTTTACAATTTTGTTACTTTGATCTTTTAATTTTTTTCTTAGTCTTTTTTTGGTGATTTTTCAG